GAGTTTTTAGTAAATGCTACTGGTACTAGACGTACAGGATTGAAGGAGATCCTAGCTGATGAATCATTATCAGATATTAGTAACCTGTCACTATGAGGAGGACGTGATATTAAGGTAAGAATTATTAACTGTTTGATACATTAATACAATCAAAAGGTCATTATCTTAATTTCTTATCAAAATGAATCAGTCTTTGTCATAATTGTGTTAAACTCACCTTTCAGCTGATGTACAGTGTACAGTACAGCTGGAGGGAGGAAGTTTTGCCTTTTTGTCAAAAATAAACCCACCATTTCGACCTTTTGCTCAATGGCACATGACCACAAATTTTGCCAAAATCATGCCCCTCCAAAATTACTAGCTATACAGTATACCACCTTAATGCTCGGTTATATTATTATTATTATTATTGTGTAGGAAGTGATTGGAATAACTAAAGAATTCAAGACACCATCGACTCTAATAAAGCTAGGTATGTTATAATATGTACTATCACAATTGTCAAGTAGTGGGAGTGTAGACCGTACTGTGTATATACACATTATTAATTATTATTTTTATAGATATTAAAGATCTTGATATTGTCATTGAAGAGCTAACAATACTCAACCATTTACCTTGCCATATATGGCATGATCTTGGTCTTCAGCTAGGACTCTATCAGCCAACACTAGAAGGCATCTATGAAGATAATAATGGAGACTTTAAGAAGTGCTTCAGACAGTGTATGTCTGCCTGGTTAAGAGGAAAAGATAAAGTGAGAGAGAAAGGAGGTCCCAGTTGGTCATCATTAGCTACAGCACTGGATAAAGAAGGAAAGCATCACATTGCTAGTTACATTAGAGATAAATATTGTGATCCATCACTATTAGGAGGACATGATATTGAGGTAAGAATTAAGTTGACTCACAAACTGTTTGATACACCTGAATAAACTAGAGGTCATACCTTACAAGTAATTTTTATCAAGTTACCTATACTCAAATTTTTGTCATGATTGTGGGCTGTCATTTTGTGGCTTTTACTATTATCACTACTGTTAAACTCACCTTATATGCACCTTGATAAACTAGCACTGTGACAAAATCAGTTATTATTATATTATTGTATAGGAAGTGATTGAAGAATTCAACCCAGACACTAAAATAAAGCCAGGTATATAGTATGATATCGTATATATTTGACGTCACTCAAAGGAGCCGCGAGGTCTATATTTTATATTGGCAGATGCTCACTGCAACTGCCAAATCTGCTAATGTTAATTACCCACCAATATTTTCATACAGTATGTATTATCACAATTGACTAGTGGGAGTGTAGACTGTGTAGATGTAATATTTGTGAGTATACACGTACTTCATTGGTCCACAGAGAACTAGCAAGGGTGAGGTGTATACAATGTATGAAAGCATATAGTGTCATGCATGTATGGTGAACTAGGGCACTATTTTTTTATAGTAGTGCTTTAACTATTAAATGACTATGTCATCTATTTTCAGGAAAAATAGAGAAATGGCTAAAAGAAGGAAAAGTTGTGCTGAAAGTCACTCGTATCAATATGCATGGTGCACCTGGAGCTGGTAAAACATGTTCACAACACCTCCTACTTAATGAGCCACCACCTGAGAATGATAATAGTACACCAATAGCTTGTCCTGCTGTTCAGGCAACAAGAATATCCATTGATGGTAAAAATAAGTGGGAGAGAGTTGAGCTTGAAGATTTAT